CCTTAACTCGAACCACGTGATAGATATATCCCTTGGAGATCATCTTTCTGGCTTTAAGATAGGAAATAAACCTACCCCACCCTTCCATTCTAAGACTGGTTCACCAGGAAATTCAAAACTTACTATTTTGGTTCTACAACCCATTGTGGCATAACAGGACTCTAACCAATCCATGCCCATGATTACATCAAAGTCTACCATCTCCAATTCTACTAAGTCTGCTGCAGTAAGATGATGATGCACTTTGACTGGACATCCCCTATAGATACACCTTGCTATAATTGATTCTCCAACTGGAGTGGATACTTCAAAGGGTTCACACAACTTTTTTGGTTCTATCCCAAATTTCTTTGCAACATATGGGATTACATAAGATAGGGTGGACCCCGAATCTGTAAGAGCATAGACATCAAAAGTGAATATTGTTAGCATACCCGTGATAACATCTCCACGAGCCTTTGTATCCTGATGGTCTGCCAGTGCATACAAGCGGTTTCGACCACCGCCTGCATTATTAGACTTTGCTGTATCGCGCCCTTGTTGGGCTTGAGAGTTATGATGGGCTGCTGAATTAGTGGACTGAGCTGCATTGCCTCTATTGTTCTGCTTTGCCTATGGACAATCCATCAAGAAGTGACCCTGCTGACCACACCCAAAGCAACCATTTGTGCCCAAATGACACAACCTTAGGTTCCTCTTACCACACGTGTTGCAAATAGGGTAACCAGGGACTCTGTAGCCCACACTAGCCTGTGACTGTGAGTCTGCTGTTCTGAAATTCTGGTTTTTCTTGTTAAACTTTGACCTTTGAACCGGTGCACTAGCTGAAGATGGAACAGGTCCTGATTTTGATTTCTTGAAAAACTGGCGATTGCCTCCTGTTTGAGATCCCCCATGGTTGAAATTTCCTGCAGACTTAACTCTCTTGTTGAATTCCCTCTCCTTCTCTCTCCATAGCCGTTCTTCTTCCTTCAACCTGTCTTCGTTCCCTTGAACAAAGGCAACCATCTTAGTGATGGTCATGTCATTATTTTGAGCAGCTATATTAGCATCAACAAACAAATCATCCGAAATCCCCAACATAAACCGCCTAACTCTGGCCCTCATATCACGTACCATTTCCGGAGCATACTTGGCCAGAGACGAACTTAAGGTAGTACTCAGTCACACTCATATCATTCTGTTTGAGTCTCTCAAACTCTAAAGCCTTAGCTTCCAAGACCTCAATAGGTAGAAAGTGCTCAAGGAACACATCTGCAAACTCCTTCCAAGTCGCAGGATCCGCATCCTCCCCTCGGGACTCTTACCAGGTTTCATACCAAGCGTTGGCTACATCCTTTAGCTGGTACGCAACAAGCTCTGTTGCCTCAGTGTCCGTAGCATTGATCACTCGAAATATCTTCTGAACCTCATCAATGAAGTTTTGCGGATCCTTATCCTTTTTGGACCCTGTGAAGACGGGAGGTTTCATGTTGAGGAATTCACTAGACCTGGAACTACCCGTACCATGAACATCACTTGTTCCCTGCCTTTGAGCTTGAGTAGCAACAATCTGGGTGAGCAACTGGATAGCTCCCCTAACATCCATGTCTGAAGCACTAGTCTCTGAGCCCGGTGCAACCCCTAGGCCGGAGTGTCCTCCTGAGCAACGTTAGTTGTGGCCTCCTGGCTAGCAGCTGAGGCCCTCCTGGTGTACTTTCTTTTTGCAGGCATTCTTCTGAAATACGCAATTCGCATGGGTTAGAAAGATTCCTGAAAGCATAGCTCTAACTACACGATCTAGAGTGTGAAAGAAATGGAACAATCCTAGATATCTTGGTGGTCAACTATTTACATGTGTGGCGCGCACACACACATAAAAAGACCCCACTGGACACGGCTTCATAGACTCCCTAGGACTCTTGAACCTAGGGCTCTGATACCAAGCTTTGTCACGCCCCGAACCATGGTCTGGGCGTAACACGACATTCGGTGACTGACTGTATGTGACAGAGCGAGCCAACTGTATGGCTGGATCAACGTGTGATATAACTATGAGCTAGAGGTAAATATAAAACATGATAATCTACTAAAGAGTCTGACTGAAATATCATAGATGCGGAAAATACTAAAAGGTCTGCAAGTATAAACAAGTAGCTGACAAGGCTAACACATGAAAGCCTGCTAATATCTGACTGACTGGGTCATAGTCTACGATGCCTCTAAAGAACACTGAAAATGCTAACTGTTTACCGGGACAAGGTCCCCGGTATACCTTATTAACTGAAATACTATAATGACTAAAACAAAAGAGAGATAAGGCCCCGAAAGACTGGGGCTCACCAATAGCTGATACGAGATGTCCTAGCAAGTAGAATCGTCAACCTGAAAATCGTTACCTGCATCGCGAGATGCAGGCCCCGGGCAAAAGGGACGTCAGTACATTTGAATTGCACTGGTATGTAAAACAATTGAAGAAAAAAACTGTAAATACTGAAACTAGAACTGAACTGCTAGCTGATAAACTGATAACTGAACAAGGAAGTAAGGATATGAATACTCCCTCTTCTGAATGATGAACAACCTGTTTAACTGAATATTAAACTGCGGCCTCAGGCCCAAATACAGGTGTTCAACTTTCAAGAATATAACAATTAGGAACTGAGAATCATGCTGCAGTACATGATACTGAAATAATGAGCCATACTGGATTACATGATACTGGAATAGTGAATAGGATTAGACTGAGATGGGTACTCATAATAAGTTGATTTGTCATAACTGAAACTCATAGAATATCGAATGATTATGAAACTATGTCATCTAGAGAATAGAAGTTCTACTACTATTCAGGGAACTAAGGCATAGTTACTTTCTGAGGGAACTGGTAATGGTCATAATGAATGGGATGTAGGAAGAATCACAGACATTCCCAAAAGTAAAGAGTTATTTCCCGTGGTGAACGCACATACTTATCAAAAATTAAAAGTAATAAACTGGATCGAGGTTATGAATTTTGATAAAAATATTCAATAAACCATTATACTGCCAAATCTAGTTAGCTCTTGATCACTGAAAGCTTCTATGTTAAAAAATTGTAAAAATGAGGATTTCAACTTTACAATTATTTGCACTAAATATATTCAGAGATAAAAAATTTCAATTAGTAATTAAAGCCATTCCCAACAACCGAAAAAGAACAGAAGAATTGAGCACATCATGGTGGCATTTTCAGATATACTAAAAACTTTGGATGCAAACCGTAAACTAGAGAAAAATCTTAATAAGTTCGAGCACCCACAGCGTGAAGGAGCTCGCAAGTCCAGAATGTCCAAGATTATCTGTTTGGCTAAATTGGAAAAATTAATTTATTTTGAGATTTTTTTTAAAAGTATTTTTGGTGTGAAATATTTTATGTTTGACTAATTAATTTGAAAAACATTTTTAAGCAGCAATTAGTATTTGATCAACCTTTTAAAAAGTGCTTCTAAGTGTATTTTTTTCAAAAATATTTCTAAAAAAAAGTGTTTCTAGGAAGAAGTTGTTTTTTTCTGCTTCTCTAAAACTGCTTCTGCTTCTCCTCAAAAATACTTTTTTTTCTCCTAAAAGTTTGGCCAAACACTTCAACTTTGGAAATGGAAGTTTTTATTTTTATTTTAAGAAAAACATTTTTCAACTTGAAGAAGTTTGGTCAAACATGCTATTAGAATGTTTGAGGCGTTAGAATTAGTTATTCTCCCCTTTCAATTTAAATGACACATTTTCCTTGTTAGCACGTTCCAAAGAGAATGACACATTTATATAGTTGGAAATAACAACAACAATAACAACCCAGTATAATCCCACTTAGTGGGGATCTGGGGAGGGTAGTGTGTACGCAGACCTTACCCCTACCCTAGGGTAGAGAGACTGTTTCCAATAGACTCTCGTCATCCTTCATCCAAGAACTTTCCACCTTGCTCTTGGGGAGACTCGAACTCACAACCTCTTAGTTGGAAGTGGAAGTGGAGGTTGCTTACCATAGTTGGAAATAACTTAACTTTAATTTTTTTTTACCTACTTTATCCTTAATGAGAAGCTTTTATAACCACACAAATATCATGACACCATAAATCTTTTACCCATTAAACTTTTAAGACCACATATTTTAAAAATCTTCGATAGAACTAGGAGATTATTTTGGTACAGCTAGGATTGGACTTGTCTTAAAATATATATTTTTAAAATTAATACTCAACAAAGAAAAAGTACAATTAATGTGACTACCTTTGAAATTACGTGATGGTGTAAAAGGTTTTACACACCGACGTGCACAAAACTTAAACTCATTATAAAAGTTTGATTGGGATTTCGAAAACGAGTTGTTCATAGAAAATTAACAATAGGTACATACTTCTTTATATATAGATGATAGTTCAGTTTCTAAATTACAAGTCAATCCTCAAAATGGTCCAATTTTAAATACTTATAAGTTATAACTAACTAATATTTCATCCTTATATATGGAGTTTAAGTACTAATTATATAGGAAAAGAATTAATCAAAGTCATAATTGAATTGAAATTCAAGAATTCTTCCTACGAAATTTGTGGGTTTCAACATAAGATCATGTTGAGGTCAGCATTCCTTTGTTCTCAAGGCAATCAAAGAAAAGGTCAGCTGTCATCTTGTTTAATATGATCCAAATCTAACTCAAAGAGATAAAATTCCAGATAATCAAGAACCAAATTGGCTAACTTAACAATAAAATGCAAAGAGCTAAGTTTGACCAAACACCATAAATGCACTCCTAATTTTCCATAAATTTGGCCAAACGTGCTACAGTTTGAATAAAAACCCCTATGAATAATGATTGTCGACAAAAAACTCCAATATTTAGATGAAATTACATACTGACCCACGTCCGTTACAGTTGGTTTAACTTCCTTTCCGACCAACTTGCGCGTAAAATTAGATTCTCCACCAATCGCGTCCATCGACGCGTGAATACCATGCGCCTCCTTCTTCCTTATTTCCAGTTGTCAACGTTTACCAAACCCCCTCTTGACGTCTAACTTTTTTCACTTTCCTAAAACCCTCCGAAACTCTCAAAATCATCACATTGTTATCCTTTTAAAAGCCCTCATTTTAAGCAAATTCTCATTTTAAACGTTTCTTCTTAAAATTGCTAAATTTTCCTAAGTTTCTGTGTCTTTTCCTTTAATCAAAAGTTCAATTTTTTTTTCCTTCCCTTTTCTGATTGTTTTCAAAATTATTTACCTCTGATTCAAAAATTGTAGTGAAGCAATAAGTTTGGAGGCTACCCTTTTGCCGATTTTGGATTCTTGAAAAGGCTTTAGTTTGAAGCAATAGGTTTTGCTAATACCTTTTGCTAAATTTTGAATCATGAAATAAAAAGCTTTAGTCTTTTTTGATTCTTTTAAGCTTCTGAAGCTGCATTATTTATTCTTTACTGTTTTAAAGTCAAATTCATGTTTCAGTAGGCTTGTTAAGTAGAGTGATTGTAGATCTTCAAAGGGGTTTTAAGCAAATTAGTTGTTGGATGAATCCTGATCTAGAAATGGAACCGGTAAGATTCCCATTGGGTAAGCAATCGTCCCTTGCACCGGAAAAGGGGGTTGAGGTGGCAGTGGAAATTGAGAGTGAAGATGGAGAAGAAGGTGGTGTTGTAGATATTGATCCAAAGATCAGGTTGATGTATTCAGCTAATGAGGGTGATATAGAGGGGATCAAGGAGCTTTTGGAGTTAGGGACTAATGTAAACTTTCGAGACATCGATGAGAGGACTGCACTGCATGTTGCTGCTTGCCAAGGTTACAGTGATGTTGTGAAGCTGTTGCTCGATAATGGGGCTGAAATTGATCCCAAAGATCGATGGGGAAGCACGGTATATCTCATGAACTAGTTTAATTAGCTTAAAATTTCTGTTATTACTACTGATTGCTATAGTATGTCTGATTAAGAATATGATTTTCTATTGTTTGTAGTATCATCATTTTTTCGGGAAAAAGTCTGTGAATGTATCTTTATTGGTGAAATAGGATTTTCTTAAGCTATCAGAAAGATGTGTATGTGATGTTGAATATTTGTGACTTGGTTTTTCTTTCCAAATTTATTCCAGATAATTGTGGGCTTGAGGTAATCCTCAGATGGCATGTGTTGTTGCCCTTTGTTCGTTCTGTTTACATTGATATGTATTAATCAAATGCACACTTGATCGATTGATGGTACTTTCGCCGGCATTTTGCTTGATGAGTAATATTTGCCCTTCCATTTGCCTCATCTTGCCTTTATGGTAGTTTGCTTTGTTAAATGGCACAATATGGTGACGAACTTATACTAAAAAAGGCCTTGGTGGATGTTAGTACCCATATATGTCATGTGAATATTGTAAAATAAGGAACTATATCAACTTAAGATATTTCAAGGGTTCTAAAGCTCACATGATATCTGTTCCTTGTGAGAGGAGAAAGCAATTGTATGACGAGCTATTATAGTCTTTTCGTTTATATGATCAATGTCTACCGTCCTAAAGTTATTTTTATACTTTTAGTCTCCAAAACCACAATAAGGTTTACATATGAAGACTTGACAGCTTTTTTCTTTCTTTAAGAAGCTCTATGTCATTTCACACAAATATGCAGTGAAATGAAAGAGTTGTTTTATATGCATGTTATGTTTGTAACGTTCGAGGAACTTCAAATTGATCGTCAAGGAGCTGGTAGCCAAAGTGTTTTTGACTTAAACAGTTTACACATTGGTTAGATTTGAATCTTTAAGCAAGCTTGAGTCTTCTAGCTCCTCATTATTCTATACATAACAATTATTTGCGGAAATGATTCAGTTATTAAAAAGATGTCTTGAAAATAAAATCTACTTTTATCAAATGAGTTGTGTACATTATGAAGTTTATTTGCTAATGATTTCTGCAAAGATTAAAATTACATTCGGGGTTTGATCTGATTTAGAGAACCTCAGCTTTTATTAGTTTCTTCTCCTGGTCTGAGTTCCTCATTCCCATCTTGTACAGACTGCTAGATTCTCTAGAGCTACTTCAATTTTCTTAGGCATCACTTCATTGTTATTCTTTTAGAACGACAGTTGTTATACTTGTGTACAAATGATTTGTAGGTCATAATATCTGTACAATTTCAGTAGACCTGAGAATTGCAGCTCCCAGTTGTTTTACTTACAACTCCCTTTTGCATTGAGGGAAGAGTAAAAATGACAATAGCATTTTCATGAATCAATCACCTGCGTTTTTTGACTCCTCAAATTATTCATGACACAATGTTTCCATCTAAAACTTAAAAAACAAATATCCCGCTTTTCCTATTGATCAATACGTTCTGCACCAATCTGATATTTGGTTGAACAGCCTCTTGGAGATGCAATACATTATAAAAATCATCATGTGATCAAGTTACTGGAGGAACATGGTGCCAAACCTCCTGTAAGTTTTACTTTCCGTTCTATTTACTCATCAAGTAATTAACAAATAAATTAAGAAAGAAAAACTTTGTTTCGATAGAAGAATTCGCTTGGCTTTATTGCTGTCTAACTTTGTTTTGGCAAAATAAAATTCCCATCCAGATGGCACCCATGCATGTCAATAATTCACGTGAAGTTCCAGAATATGAGATTGATGCTAAAGAACTTGATTTCACAAACAGCGTTGAATTACCAAGGTAAATATTTTGGTTTTAGTCTGGTGACCAGCAGAATTTTGTGTTTTTTATTTTAGGGGGTTCGCCATGCCTCTCTGCCAGAGTCTACACATTGCAATGCTTTTCTCTTTTCCTTTCTCTTATTTTTGCTTTAATTTTTGGCGGTGTACTGGTCTTTTTCGGTAATATCTTTGTCTTTAAGTAATCTGGTATGGGTTCTGGTAGTAACATATATAGATACTTGTTATAAATTTGCATTGATGTGTCATAGTAGCCCGACAAGTCCAGGAAATTACCTTGTTTTTGAGTTGTGAATGTTATGTGTCTCAAGCTATAGACTTATTATATTGCACTTCATAGAAGGGTCAGTCACCTGTGTGACAGCTGCATAAGGCTCGACTGCGGCTGCTGCACCTAGAAAACAAACCAGCTACAAAGTTATCAAGAAAGTTAAATAAAAATAGTTCCAGTTACAAGCAGCATACAGGTGAGACGAGGTGCCTAAACGCAGATGTCAAATGAGAAATGTTAACTTGAGCCTCCAACGAGTATCAGTCCTGTAATGGATGATTGAACTATTCTACTAAGAAGTTTCTAATGTTGAAATTGCTTTTCTAGTTTTCCACACTCTATATTGCGTGGCTTGCCTATTGTTGAGGGGTTCCACACCTTAGACGATCAGGTAAAGCAAACTGAATGTATTAATGTAATCTAAATTGGAATTCAGAGTATGAGTACGGTACATGACTGAGAAGGGACGAAAAGAGGAGGGAGAATGGAGGATCATAAGAAAAAGTAACAAACCATTCTCGGCACCTTTTAACTCTGCTATCCAACCCTCCAAATGAACATTGTCCAAAAGAAGGAGATAGCAGAACATGTATATAAGATGCGAAAGAGAAAAGCTACATAATTATTAGCTACAGAATAGGGATCTATCATTGTTGCATGGATTGTGAACAGTTAAATGATAACATTTAGATAAATTTGATTGGTAATTAGTTATTTGTCTTCAAGGCGTTGGTCTAGTGGTAAGAGCGCAACACGTGATGTGTGGATCAGGCACACGTCGGGTTTCAAAACCTTGTTGTGGACAAAAGCATAGTATTTAAGTGGAGAAGGGTAAAGGAGGACCCATTATCTCCCGAGCGTCAAATCGTGCGCCAATGGCCCTCGGGGGTTTCTCGTTTTTAAAAGAATTAGCTATTTTCAATGGGCTAGGTACGGTGATTTTCCTTACAAAATACTGTCTGTTAACCTATTATCTTGGAACATTCCCAACTAAATTGAGTAGGCACCTCAGATTTTAATATTATGCTAATACAACGATAGATCATTAGGACCACAGTTGCATGATAAAAGAATTTAGAACTATCAAACTTTTAGAGGTGAGGTCCTTATTTCTTTCATTGAGCAACTTTGGCCCCATGTACATCCATAGTCTGATAGATCCACTGAAGAGTTGATTAATGGGACAGGAATAAAGACAAAAGGTTTTATAGGTAAGACCCCAAGGAGATGGCTTATAGTTGAGGCAACGGAGAAAAACCAAGATATCCTAGGTTCGAATTCCCAGTTTAATGCTCAGTGCAAGTCCATTTGCTCTAACCTTGGTAGGTAGATTGTTGGAGGTGACCACGCATGGCCGGCTCCAACCTTATGTAGAGTAAGGCGTGTGCCTTAGGCCCCCTAATTTAGAGGACCCTATTTTAAAAAATAATAGGTTCATAGGTATTTAAAAAATAATATTTAGTATTTTTAATACAAAACTAGAGTTTTTAATATAAAGGAAAGCAAACTTTTTAGATATATAAATAAATAATAATTTGACTTGCTAAAAAATGTGTAGATGAATAGTTTTCATAACTTTTAGTTTTTCCTTTTTACTCCTTCATTAAAAAATTTGCTCTCTCTTCCTTAATTTGTATAAGTCAATCTTTTTTTTTCCCAACCTCTTCATATTTCAGAAAACCCTACGTATATTTTGTGTTTCTCTTTGATATTCTTACTCACTTCTTTCTCCAAGATTTCACTAGTTCAAGTGTTCAACAATACTTTTAAGCTTCCAATAGTTCTATACTTATATTGCTTTGTAAAATCTTATCTAAGATCAACAATATCTCAAAAAAGATTAGATAGGTTGGCTATATTATCAATCGAGCAAGAATTATTAGAGAAAATCAATTATAAAAAAAATTATTAACAACTTTATGTCTCAAAAAGTTAGAAGAATAGATTTCAAATAAAAACATATCTTATAACTTTCTTTTAAAAACTTAGGTCTCCTATTAAACTTTGACTTTAGGCTGGTAGACTAGCTGAGGTGCAGGCCCAGACTATAGCACCAAAAAAATAAATAAAAGGGGAGAAAAGAAATGAAAATGAAGCATTTATGAGGTAAGATCACTAACGGATACCAAATGTAGCTGACACATCTTTGCTTGATCTGATGAAAGCTGCTCAGTTGCTAGGGATAAGTTGATCTTCTTCATTGTTTCTTTCATTAGAAATCGTCTGATTGATGTGGTATGTTTGAAAAATCTGGGAATGTTCATCTGATTCTGTTCATATTCGGCTAGTATATCGCTCCAATCTTCAAACTTTTGCTTTTTTATCTTTTTGATGATTCCTGAGATATTGTAGGGAACGTTCCATATTGCCTCATGGCGTGGAATACAAGTTGCTGTTAAAAAGTTCGGAGAGGATGTGATTGCTGATGAGGATAAAGTGTGAGTATAAAATATCAATATTTCTTCTATGGCATTATGAGAACGAAAAAGCCATAAGAACTTCTTCGCATTATTTAGCTCTCCTCATATCTCGCGTATTTTATTACATTCTCTAAATATTCGGATTTTTACAGGACGGCATTTAGAGACGAACTTGCACTGCTCCAGAAGATAAGACATCCAAACGTCGTCCAATTTCTTGGTGCTGTAACACAAAGTAGCCCGATGATGATAGTGACGGAATACTTACCAAAAGTAGTCCCAAATTTACTCTCTTGTTTTTGCTTTATCTAAACTTGTTGTGGCGTGCATGGTTATGTTTCAGAATATTTCACTAGACAGTGAACTTTTCAGTTATTCAACCGATTTGTCTTAGTTGATTCCTTTCTCCATTTTGTTGTTTTCTTGCAAACGCAATTCCCTTATTACTAATTATCTTTTTCATGGCTATATATTACCAGGGTGATCTCCATGCATATTTGACGAAAGAAGGACCTCTTAGACCAACCAAAGCTATCAGATTTGCAATGGACATCGCAAGGTTCACAAGCCACCCTCTGCTATTAGCTAATGTTATAAACTCACTACCTAATTACAAGGCCAATAGTATAAATATCTGGAACCTAGGGAACTATCTGGAGTAACATTTGAATCCATAATAACTTGCATCTTTCTTAATTTCAAAAAAGTTAGCACTCTTTGGGAGGCAAAGCAAGATATCGGACTGCTGTTGATTATACTTTTGAGTAAATTAACTGCTTAATGCATCTGGTAATTTGTTATGAATCTTATGATTGAGTTAGTTATTACGTCTATTGTGTTTCTAAAGATCCCATCTAGTGTTTTCTTATCCACAAAATATGGAGAGAGAAGAAGAGAAAATACATACAATAAAAGAGAAGATCATACTTGTTATTGAACATGCCACATTTTCTACAATTGTGGGCTATCTGCTGACTAATATTGTAGTGGCCTGCATAGCTCATTTTTTCTGCATTTAGCTTTAATCAGACCCTAGTTACCTCGAATAGGATGTATTTATTAAACAAAAAAGAGAAAAAAAAATATTGAGAAACACTGTTTGCTTTTGCATTCAGACAAAATTGGCATGAAAAAGTTACTCTTGGTCATAATTCTTCTCTTCCAACTTTGGATGGTTGCAAGCACATATTCTGCCCTTAGTGCCACTCTTTCGAAATTGAAAAGTGGTAAACATCATTTGATATTACTCTCTACCTCCCACTTTTCTTACCTGCTTTCAACGTCCTAGCTAAAACTTATAACCTCTCCTATAACAGAAAAATTAACCAAATTCTAAGAATTCCATTACTACAACCTTAGTACCCTGTGTTATTTCAAATATGCATGATATCTTTACACCCATTTCATTTCCTCCTACCATTTAACATATATGTATGAAACAAAAATATATTAATCATTGGAATCTTTTCTCAAAGAATATATCATTGGAATCACTCTTAAAACTCTGTGAAAGTCAACACAGCTCAAATGAATTGGAACGGAGCACTAAGGATCTCCTTACAAGTTCTTGTACAGTTCCATTAATATTCAGATTTCCAAATTTCATATGAATTCCCCCAGCTGCTAGGCATGTGAATCATTTGATTATATTTATTTCTTTCCAATCAGCTCATGTTTGTTAGTTACTCAAATAGAACATACTGTTCCCATTCATACAGAGTTGAAGCTTGCCTTTGATATCCCTGCCAGCATGACGTACGTAAGTAGAATATGGTTCTAACACTTGTATCTTATATGGCTGCAGGGGACTGAACTATCTACATGAAATTAGACCTGAAGCAATTATTCATCGTGACCTAGAGCCTTCGTGAGTTTTCCCCTTTGGTTAGGTCTCCTTTGACTCCATTTGTGAATGCCAATTCCTATCCAAGTTTTTGTTGACTAGTCTCAACTTTGAAGCTTTCCTCCTTAAAAAATTGAGTTCCTTCAGCTTAATGTTTTAATATTTTAATTGATATGACAGAAATATTTTACGGGATGATACTGGACATCTGAAAGTTGCTGATTTTGGAGTCAGCAAGCTACTGAAAGTTACCAACAGGGTCAAAGAAGATAAGCCTCTGACATGTGATAACACTTCTTGTGAGTACTGCTTCTGTCGGATATCAAAGTGATTCTTTTCAAATGGAAATCCATGCTGACATTTGACAACAGCCTCAAACAGAATTTCTGACACTGTTTTTACTGTTTGTTATGGATGTAAAATTCCTGCGGCAGCATCGCATGGTGCCACAAAAATTTGCTTCTACTGATTTGTTTCTATTGATTGATGTTGCTGAAAAATGGATACTTGGAAATCTTTAACCCTTTTCCTCTTTGCCTTTTGTTTTGTTGGGAATAAATAGGTCGATATGTAGCTCCGGAGGTTTTCAAAAATGAGGAATATGACACCAAAGTTGATGTCTTTTCCTTTGCTTTAATTTTGCAAGAGGTAACAATTTCTTTTTTCCTTTTAAGTTTCAGGATGTAAGAAAGGACAGCTTTTTTTGTTCATTCATCGTGGATACGGACGATATGTATAAAATATAAAAGTTCGAATGCATTTATCTTGATTAACACGCTCATTCTGAAGGGAGTTGCCATTATTGCGAGAAACATGTGGGGGAAGGGGTTGATAGTTGATGGTCAGTATTGGGTCTTTTTCCTGTTTAGAGAGACACTGTAGGTTTTGTATGTACTTTTGATCAATGAAGGCATTCTTCTGCACCGCTCTGGCTCACGAAAGAGAAAATAAAGCCTTGCACATAATTGAGATAGCACATATCCTTCTGACTTTTAATTTGATCGCCTTTTCCTTCATGACTTTGACCTTGTATAATCCTTAATATAGTTTCTTTTTAACGTTCTTCCCATGCAATACCATCAAGAGGAGATTTACTGTGATGCAATAAACAAGCAATGTAATTAGTTTTCCTTTTAAAAAATAATCTCTTTAGTGAACTCTTCCTAGCTTAAAGGAGAGTTATTAAAATTGGTTGTTAGAATGCAATTTGTTGTTATTTGGAGACAGTATAACTATTTGATGAGGGGAACTCGAAAGAACAACTATCTCATGCGAATTTTATTTTCTGCCATGTAGACAAATCATTTTATGCTGCAACACATTGATTATTATAGTTTTTATCTGGTCTATGATACTGAATATCAGCTAAAACTTCTAAATTGTGCCTGATGGACTTTCATAAGTCAAGGATGTGCATATTTGCTATTTTTGTTTCCGCTAATAGGTTAGAATTTTGATAATTGTGCTGGCTTGTATTGTAGATGATTGAAGGCTGCCCTCCTTTCCATGCGAAGATAGAAAATGAAGTAGCTAAATGCTATGCTGCCAAGGAACGTCCTCCTTTTAAAGCTCCAGGGAAGTTTTATGCCCATGGACTGAGAGAGTAAGTTTTCTATTAGTTTCTCTGTAGTAGTAGTAGTAGTAGTAGTAGCGTCCTCCTTTTAAAGCTCCAGGAAGTTTTATGCCCATGGACTGAGTAAGTTTTCTATTAGTTTCTCAGTAGTAGTAGTAGTAGTAGTGCAGTAGTAGTAGTAGTGCATTTGGAAATAATTTACCTTTACGCAATGATTTATAGCCACACAAAATATATGTGCCTCATTTCACACCTCAAGTTCAAAAATTTTCTCTTTTTTCTTAAACTCCGTGCTCAGTCAAATGGGTTCACATAAATTGAAACAGAGGGAGTATATTTTTTGTTATATACAAAAATTATACAAATTTTATACACTTTTTCGGTTACCAAATGTAAATAATTTCTGGCGGGCTAAAGTGATAATACTCCGCACTTAATGTGATACGTGGAAAGTTTTCACAGCGAAGGTCCATATATCCGACTTCTGGGTGAAATGACTATCCTTTCCCTGTGTGAAACTTTGTGGAGGATCTAAAATGATTTTTACGGTGATAAAATCATCACTCAACTGTTGTTAGTACTGCTGAAAATCAGAGCTGATTTTGGGTTTTCCAGGCTGATTGAAGAGTGTTGGAATGAGAAGCCGGCCCTGCGTCCAACTTTCAAGCAAATTATCCCAAGGCTTGAGTCTATCTACAACAAATTTGGCCACAAAAGGCGTTGGAAGGTAAACCCTTCAGTCATCATACTCTTTTATACCATCTCTATGCGCGTAGGTGGTGTTCAGTGCATATGTATTTTGAACTTTCATATTTCGGGTCAATGAGATAAACTATTTGCCAAGTTCTAGTCAAACAGAGATGTATTACCCAATCACTTGAGCGTCAGTGATTGGGTAAGTACTAAGTAGTTCCTATACATTCCGTTCACCTGCCCATGCTTCAAGAAGTGTGTAGCAGATAATAAATGCATAGAATTGGCAGATAATAACATGTTCATGTTCTGATTGATTAGAGTCTCTCTTAGGTTTTCTGCTGATTACACTATCTTTTCTTAGGCTTAACGGTTATTTAATCTCAGTAATGGCCTGTGTTGTGTTTCGGAAATATAGTTCTGTTGCTACTTCAATGCCCCTTTTAATAATTCTGAGTTAAGCATAGATCTCTCTTTTCATCCTCTATATGTTGCTCTATGCAGGTTAGACCATTGAAATGTTTTCAAAATTTCGAGGCCATGTGGAAGAAGGATCACTCAAGTTTAAGTAGCCGGAATGGCGGCTCATCTCGATCAAACAGCAGCATCTAGCAAATTGTGGATATTTCCTTAGTTCAAGTGTGCATAAGTTTCCTTCTCAGATTCTGATAAAGATTCAGTAGTAGGAAGTTGTATCACTATTTCTAGTTTTAAGTCAATCTCTCCCTGTCATTGAGGATGTCCAAAACAAATGGTCATCCTTTTTTGCTTTACCTCTTTCTATTGTTATCTATATTGTTTATGTACATTATATTTAATCACAGTGTGTTCATTGTGCAAATTCTATGCTTTCTCTTCACTTTGTTTTGTGGAAGCAAGCAAATAACAAATTGACTTGAAAGTTGAAGGCTACACTTCCAGCCAAGAGATTGTGAGTTCGAGTCACCCCAAGAGCAAGGTGGGAAGCTCTTGGAGGGAGGGAGCCAAGGGTCTATCGAAAACAGCCTCTCTACTCTAGGGTAGGGTAGATGTAAGGTTTGCGTACACACTACCCTCCCCAAACCCCACTAGTAAAATTATACTGAGTTGTTGTTCTCTCTTTGGTATAAAACATCTATTTTTTCAAGATTAAAAGGCGATACTATATTCCTTGAGTGAAAGATGAACTTTAACTTACATAATTCTAGTCCATTGCATAACGGAGAGTAAGAGGATTACAGGATAATAAAAGGGAGCTTTTTACCCATTCGATTCTCATTTTAAATCTGTAAAATAATGATATTAATTTGAATTTTATAACTTACAACTTTATCTGAATTCAAAGTGTATGCATATTTTTTTTAAAAAAAACTTTTTTGTGGCCCCTATTCGGCCTTGGGAAAGAAAACTAAACCCAAATGTGAACAAGATGGAATATTGATTTATATTTTTTCCGAGTGGTGTCGCGTGGATGTTATACATTATGTAAAGTAAGTTGCTAGTGCGAGTACACAACCTAACAGGACAAAATCTATATATGTTACTTTAACCTTTTTTTATGGTCTAAAATAAATAATTATTTTTCAGATTTCAAGAATGAATTAATTTTTTCCTACATTGCCCTTGGAGTAAATAGTGTTGGAGTATGTATTAGAAGTGTTTATGTGAAGAGATAGTAAAGGTTAAATGGTCAATTTCATTGCTAATTAATATTAAAAGATGAATTTCTTAATCTGTGTGAAAACAACTAAAAGATTACTTATTTTATCGGAGGGAGTACCAGTTTATTGTGTTTTTCGGGATTGCATTTAATATTTTCCCTATGTTTTCTATATTTATGTGATATATACACATTTTAGATATTTTTTGGTTACAAAAAATGACTTTTAATGTAAAATAGAGTTAAGTTGGATGACCAACTCCGAGTCAACCCCCCACCCCCACCCCC